GGAAGGGTGATTAATACTCTGCAGATATTATCCTACAGAATAACCTACAGAAAATAATCAAACATAGCAGAAAGTTATTCCCAAAGGTAAAGTGACAATGACTCCCAAGTCATCAGATGGATGAAAGGCATAGGGAATTGGGAAGAAGGGAAAAATCTCATGGCAGCACCTATGAAAACAATATCTGGCTGGAGATGAAGTTCTGAGACATCACACAGTCAGAGAGAAAGAAATAAAAGAGGACCAGTAGCAGTGGGAGTGTGTGAAACATAGAAATGTTGAAAGAAGGCAGACCCATCAATACCTGGATGTATAAAGAAAGAGTCTAGGATTATGGGGAAAGTAAGGCAAAAAGAAAAAAAAGAGAGAGAGAGAGAGAAGGAGCATAACCAAGAAAGAGATCTTTAATGAGGCAGTCTGGCACATGATCCAGAATCGAAAAAGCCAAGTAAGAAATAGAAATGATAAAGGTCATCCAGGTAGAAGGCACTTGGTTATCTGAGAGCCCGATGTCAAGGGTCCTCAAGCAATATGAAAAATTTAGATCTTTCCAGAAGAGTCATCTTAATAGCATTTGAAAGGTGCCTACCTTTCTCAACACAGCTGGGATTTACTCCTCTGCCTCCCACCTACCTGGATCACACTCACCTGGACATCTCTGATGTGGGCTCTCAGCCCGCAATGACCACGGCTCCTTTCCTTGTTCTAACATGAAAACCTCTGTTTTGGGAACTAGATACCCTATTCATGGGAAATGATAAAGGACAGGGTCCAATTAGTTATGTTTCAGAGCCCAATCAATAAAGTCTTATTGTTCAATGAGGGTTTGTTCTTCAGAAAAGTAACTCTGTCTCTGGGAACAGAGTAATTGATTCAGAGTGTCCAAAAGATATTAGGAATCTTGGACAAATCAAGGACAGAACCNCCCTCGAGAGTGACGTCAGCAAGATGGCCCACTCGAAGTCCCAGCACTCACTCCTCACCAAAAAGAGAGTCAAATCAGTGAATGAATAACTATACTTTTTTGTAGGAATGGGTAGCTGGGCAGTACAGAGATTGAACCCTGGACATTGGTGTTCTCAGCACCAGGCTCTAACCAGCTGAGCTAACCAGCCAGCCTAATAACTACATGTGATGAATATAAGTAAAGGAGAGCACTGGAGCACATCAAAGGAGTAGCAGAAATCTTGTTCAGCACAGAAACCCAGATGAGAAAATAGAGAACAGAAGGAAAATTTCACCTCTGCCACCTTATGCCCCAGTTGAAATCAGCTCAGAACCAGGAGGGATGCCTCCCTGTGGAGAAAAACCAAGGAAAAGGACCTATGTCCTCCGTAGCCCCCTCACTACCTGGGGTACATACAGTTCTCACCACTGGGAACTCCTACAGTCNTAGGGCTTCTCTCTACTGTGGGTTTTCTCATGTATAATAAATTCTGGCTTCCGTACAAAAGCCTTCCCACATTCAGTACATACATAGAGTGTTCTTCCTGTACGAACTTTGGGATGTACCTTGCGCTGTGACTTCTGAGTGAAGATCTTCCCAACATCAGCACATTTGTAGGATTTCTCTCCTGTATGAATTTTCTGATGTTGAGAGGGAGCTTGTTTGTAACTGAGGATTTTTCCATATTGATTATGATCCCATAATTTCTCTCCTGTTGGAGAACACTCATGGTCAGAATAGGAAGATATTTTATCATATTCAGTAATTTTTTAACATTGTTTGATGCATTATTTCTTTTATGACTATGTAAATATAAATTATGCTTCAGACCATTTCCAAATGAGTCCCCTTGGTGGGGTCTTTTGGGGGAAGGAATAATGTTTGGGCTCACCTGAATTATTTCTCTAATATCCTTATATTCGTAATGCCACTCTGTCGCCAATATTTTCTTGATGAAAGCAACATCAGTTAAAGACTTATTTTCTCTTTTCTGATAGCTCTCTATCTGGTCACTAATCTGCAATTCTTATAGCATGAAATACAGCAAAACATCACTTTTTTCTTCACTTTCCTTCTCAATTTTTAAAGAAGCTTTTTAATAAATTCCCTACTAGAAGATTTGAAACCCAAACTCCTCTTTTCAAAGCAGAAATAGGTGATTCTAGCTTAAGGAAGAGCCAGGAGAGGCTATAGGGGAGGTTACATATTGGCTCATCTAGGTCAAATGCAGAGAAAAGGGTGAGGGTGAGTAATTTGATGAGGAAGGTGGTGATAGTGTTGATAGGAAACATTCTGGGATACTATTAAGCAGTTAGAAGAAATAAATCACGTGAACAGCTTACATCTGGACAGATGTGGAAAAAGGCAAAGAATGTGATATATAGTACAGCAACATTTATATCAACTAACGATACGTACCCCTAATTGACTTCAAATTTTACA